CTCAGAGCTGCACTGAAAAATCGCTGTAATACTACAATCAATAATTACATCTAATCACTTTCATCTAAATTTGTTTGTGTTGTGTGATGCTTGTGTAAAGCTGCACACCGCTTACAGCAATAACAAATGAATCACAAATTAAGTAAATCCAGTATCAACGTCGCTCACTGTCGAAGGATGTCACAGCTCTGATGTGACAGCTGTGCAACTGCCATCTACCATACCTCGATGCACGCTTTTTGGTTTATTAAGAATTTGAGTGTTGCCTGCCTTCATCTGAAAAAAAAGATGAACACAAACAAAAAGAAAGCCAGGTTATTCAGCAAACACGAGATTGGTGCTGTATAGAGCACAGCCCTGCCTTGGCTGACTGACATTCAATTCTCGTGCATTGTTCTTTCTCTTCCCCGATCTTTGAATAACAACTATGAAAACCAATCTAGTCCCAGTGCTGCGTCCATGAATACAACTTGACGCTGATATGACTAACATTATTGGCTGGTGTCAGTGACAACAATGTTGCATTCAGTTCAGTGAATAACTAAAAATTAAAGCACACTTCATTTTGTAGTGACTTTCTTTCTCAGTGATAAATAACCTAGAAACTGCTTCTGTCATTTATCCCCATAGTGTTTTTGAATTACAACATTTAGACAATCATATTTTGATTTAATTTTAAATAAATTAATTGATGTAATTTTCAGAATCTGGAATATGTTTCCTTTTGGCTCTGGCCATCTCACTGTGAGAGGACAGACCTTGAGTTGTCCACAGCTTCTTCCTGGATTCTTCTAAATGGACGTCACACTTGGTGGATCACAGTTAGCTTTGTTTTAAATGGTTTTATGACCTCACTGTGTTGTACGAGTTAGAAATGAAAGAAGTAAAATCATAAGTGAGCAAAGGGTCATGGCTGTCACAAAAGCTGCCAGGCCATTTTGACAGAACTGATTTTATATGTCAGGCCCATTAGCCAGTTTGGAGAGCAATCTATTTCTCTGGAGCCTCTGTTGGATGTGGCGAGGAGGATGCTGCACAAATTCTTGAACATCATAGAGAACATTTCACAACGCTGCATGAAGTCTTTCTTGCCAACTGTCATCACCCTGTGCAATGACTCTCCTCTGTGTTGGGAGAGAGATCTCCTCTTCTGACAAGATATTTACTGTACATATGTTCATGTTTTATGCACTACTCTCTGTCTGTGAGTGTTGATACTGCATTGTATTTAATTTAAGTGATTGTAAAGTGTTGATAAAAGGTGTAACATGCAAACAAGCAGCCATAGCTGATGATAATTGTCTCCATGGGAACCTGTAGCATTTCATAGTCAAGGTTATTTCAACTGTGTGCAGTAAAGAGGTCTGTTGTTTTCAGGTTTTCTTTCCAACAGAAAACAGCAGTGCTCACTGATTAGTTTCTCCACTCTGGTTAAGGTTGTGCTAATCACTAAAATTACTTGTATGCATGTACTCTAGAGCCCCGAACCAGCAGGAAGTGCCATCATAGATGTTTTTTGTTGTGAAATATCATTTAATTATCACTCTGTCTGTGCTATTAGCTAGGAGAATGAACCTGAAAAAACTGTAATCACAGAAGTCATACTTGTGCATTCCCCCACTGTGTTACAGTTAGGCAGTAATGGCGTTAGCCTACATTTCACTGAGGACTCTCTTGATCTCCCAGGAGAAGCCCTATACTCAATTTCAGCTCAGATTGTGTGCAACAGATTTGGAAGAGAGAAAGAGTCAGTTAACTCTTCAAAAACAAGGCAATTTGCTGTAACAGTCAGCCAGCAAAGCATTGTAGCATTGCAAGTCAGTTAATCAGTTAACAATTTATCATGTAAAACATATGAAATATATGAACCACTGGATATTGCTCAATGTAAAAGGCTGTTCTTTTAACAGATACACTTATCTAATGTAGAAACAGAGGATAAATTCATAAGATTTAGTGTGTGGTCAGACCTGAACATCATATGAATCTGTAACTCAGTAAGCCAGAAACAATTTCTTGACGGTCAGTGAGTGATTCAGTAAGACTGGGAAAAAAGTCCATCATATGCCCAACTGACCACTCAGCCAAACAATAACAGGCTCTTTGACCTTGACAGCTGCAAATGCCTCAGTGGCTATTCTGATTTCCACATACTGTCTTGATATATCTACATCTGAGATTTCTTTTATCCTGTCTATTCAAAAGCGCCTTGATGTGTGGAAAAAAGGTCAGTCACACCAGACACAAATATTCCCTTTCTCCCAGTTTTTCACTGCAGGTAACAGTTATCCAGACAGCTAACCTATAAATATGCAGGCAACCAGTCAGTTTACAGTAGAATCCAAGCCAACCAAACCCTAACCCCTCACTTGCAGTAATCAGCCACTCCACTGCTTGAGCCTATGTTAATAAGGATCCTCAGTGTTTCCACCAATTACAGTAAATCATCCAGCCAGTCAACCAGTGAACCAGTCAGGCTATTGAGTGTGTGCTCACGGAGCATGACAGTGTTTCCACACACCAATTACAGCGAGACAGTGGTACAGCTGTGTGGTGGCTTGGCACTCAGCCACAGTATAAGTACCACTATCGATTGACAGAGAGACACCGAGAGTGTATGAGGAGAGCGAGTGAAACAGTCATGCTAAGTGAGGGAAGAAGATGCAGAATGAAAAAAGAGTCAGATGTACCTGACTGAAACTCCCAAACTCTTTCTCTCTTTCTCTTACTGTATGTTGCAATGATGCATATTGATAATGATGCATGTCTTATGTAACGGTTCTAAAAAAGAACCTGAAGTCACAAACCAAATGTCACGGCATGTTGGTGATCAGATGACACGGTCCAGTCTGGTTCTCACATCTGTCTCCCTCCACTATTAACAGTTGGTTCAGACCCTTCGTGTGTCTGTATCTGTACCATTTAACACTGAGGCAGAAACAGTGGACTGTTGCTGACTTTACATAAATAACACAGCTTTAAAAAGCAGTGTCTAAAACAGAGAAAAGAAGTTAAAAACTAAACAATCCAAATGCTTCAATCAGCTGTAGAGACTGTGGCTGGGTCCCAATTCAGGGAATGCATCCTTCGAAGGTTGCATTTGAACACCGACTGCATCACAGCACTGCCACAAGACCGCACCATTCTGAAGTCTCCTTCAAATAAGGCCAAGAAATGCTTCCTTCCTTCGCTGGGCAGTGAAGGCTGCAACTGTTGGATCCTTCACGGCCTACCCTATCCCAAGATTCATTGCATGCCAGCAGAGAGCAGAGCAGCTGTCAAGGTTACTAACGACAGGAGCGGCTCTTCGTAACACGTGGGAACAGTTACTAACGTTCTACAATGGGTATGCCTTTGTAAGCCACATCCTTCAAAGGATGCAGCCCCTGAAATGAGACACAGCTTATATCATTAAAAATGAAAGAAATATTTATTTGCAGGTATTTCATGTTTTCTTCTACAAATCATTAGTTAGTTTAACCCCTGTTTACTGTGTGACTCTCGTAAAAGTGCGTTCTTCTCTTCAGTGCTCCACGCTGTTGGCGTTTTTTTCGGATCTCCCTCCCAAGAAAAAACAACAACAAACAGAATGATGTGGCTCAAAAACCAAGGCCTGAACTGAACCATGGATTTGGTGAACCGTTACACCCCTAGTGCATCTGTAAGCGTGTCTGTACTCACGTGTTTACAACCACAAAAAAAACAGAGCTACAGTATAGAGGAGACTGAGATGAAAAGAGACAGTTCTCTCTCATTCCCATTCTTGACTCTCTTCTGATCCTGCTAATTATCACAGTTTGACAGTGCAGGAGAGGAAGAAACACAGAGGCTGAGGGTAAGAGACAGGCAGAAGAAAACAAACAGGAGGAAACCATTTTTGCAAAAATAAAATAAGGCAGAGCAAGAGAGAGAGAGAGAAATATAGATAGAGTCTCTAAAGCAGCTTATCTAGCCCATTCTACAGTATGTTAATGAGGGTATGAAGTTATTTAACTCAATAGAGCCTAGATGCTTTATTTTACTTTAATACAGATACCCCACAATTCCCTACCCCATTGCAACAGACAGAGAAGTTGTCATGGTTGTAATACACTTTAGAATACATTAAACTTTAACATACTAGGGAGTATAACTGTACACAACAGCAGTTGAATAATTGCACTCGTTTCAAAGCACACACAAAAATACTTTACACAAAGTGCAGAATACTTCTCCCCACATAAAACAAATTCATAAACACACACACACTTTCATACCAGACCTAATGTGCTACAGTGTCAAATCCCTGGATGGATAAAATCACAATGTGAGGAGACACGATGACAAACCCACTGGCTTCCCCCCAGTGTGGCCCAGAAACCAAGTTAATGTTATTTTAAGTACAGCACAGCAAAGTCATTGCATTTTTAGCCTTGCACAGAAAAAGGGAATTTATCTAAGTTGTATAAAAAAGTATTGTGAGTAAAAATGACAGTTTGTAGTTTTTGGGGGGATTACATACCAGAGCATGGTATTTATTTATGGCACTTTCTTTTACTAGCAGCTATCAGCTAACTCCATGAAATAACTGAATGACATTTCTAACATTTTTACTCTTGTGCTTTTGGCTTTGGAAAAGCACAGCACTAGCCTTGGCTTTTGGGTAGAAAGGACTACTGTTCCGTTACACTTTAGAGAGGGGTTTAGCTAATGGTTAAAAGTTTCTATGTTTTCATTAAGTGCCAGTACAAAATGCTCAGACACTCAGAGCCAAGCTAGCTGTTCCCCCTTCCCTCTATGTTTTATGCTAGATAGGCTAAATACATCCAGACACCAGTTATACAGGTTAGAAAGATATTATGATAAATGTTTATTTAGACTTGCTACATATGTAGCAGCCACTGTGAACAACAGGTCACTCCTATTAATCAAAAGGGGGGTTTAAAGCCATAAACCCAGATGTAGTGCAGTTTGAAATTGCAGTGCATACTAAAAAATACTAATTTAGGCCAAGTACTTACAGCCAGGAGTATCTGCAGCGAGGAGTGAGCGACCTCTATGAACTGAAAATCTACCAGACAGCCAGATATAGATATATATCGGTGGTCCTCGGGCGCCCAGGACGGAGGAGGGGTGATAGGTGTCACCTTGCACCCCGGGCCGTTCTCCATCCACCAGGAGCGATGCATGGACAGGTTAAATGTCAGGACAAGGTCAGAGTCCTGGAAAGACAGACAGAGAGAGTGATTTGAATTATGTCATCAGGCAGAAGACCAATCAGGAACAAGACAAAGGCAGGTGAAATGTCAGGGCAGGTTTTAACCAGGTTTGGTTAAACCCAAATTGTTTGTCAGGAGAGAGCACATGCTAAAAATAGACCTCAGACTTATAATTCCAATAATACAGGATGCCTCAGTTTGCATCTGAGTCATACATACTGTAGGCAGTGTTATTATGAGGACAATAAGGGAGGGAGTGAGAAGACTTATGGAAGGAGGCCAGAGATGAAGGGAGAGAGAGAAAAAATGAGAAACTAAGAGGCTTTGAGATGGGATTTCTTCATACACCAAAAGCACTATCATGATACTTCCAGTCTGGGAGAGAGCCAAGAGACTCAAATTTTACTGTTGCAGTATCAGGCAAAATACTGTAGTCATGATTTGTTCTTCTTTAGCAGGGCAATCCCAAAACTTGGGGTGCCATCAAAAAATGAGAGGCACATTAATGTGAATGTGGAAACAATAGTGGCACTCACAATGCTTCCCAAATAACAATGCCAGTTAATCTGCAACATGAAATATCTTGAAGAAATACTAGGATTGCCACAATTAGTAAAAACAAAGGTCTTTGGACTTTGGTGTTTCCCGATATTTCCTCCAGTGCCCCCAGTGACGCTGACATCTTTAGTTTTCTGTTTATAGCCTCACCTGTACTTTGTGTTCAGTCTTAACTGGGGACCTAGTAAACCACCATTTAAACAATACAATGTTAACAGTTTAAATGGGAATTATGTTACCATGTTAACATTCAGATTTTGCTTCAAGTATACTGCAGTTACAGCCTCACTGAAGTGATGGCATAGCTGTAGACTTTCAGCCCTGATGTTTTGCAGATATGGAGACATTTTCTTCTCTTTATTTGCTCAGATTGTTCAAAACAGCGTGAACAGAACCACCACTGGCAGAGATAAAAATTACAGCCAGAGGCTGCAAAGAACACAACAAATGACAAACAGTGAATCAACATTCTCTGTCCCTCGCTGTTTCAGTTCTACTTTACAGCAGCACAAAGACCACATGCAGTAGCAGCAGCCCCTGCAGTTACTTAGCAGGGCGTCTGCTTTGGCTCCTCTTCAATCCTTTTAATTCTAAAAGCCTCCAAGATGCACAATAAATCAGTTATAGTAGACATCTTGGTTTAAATAATGCACATATTAACGACTCCACTTAGGAAGGAGAGACACACATCATTCATCAGACGGCCATACAAACCACCCTGACACACAGAGACACACTAACACGGACCTCCACAAATGCGCACATCACGTACATGGGTTTGCGCTGCTTTGCCATTAGTTGAATAAAAAGCTCTTTAAAAGCATGGTTAAGAACAAAAATGACTTTTACCTCATGGCGATGCATCTTTTTAAGCAAGATGTCAAAAAAAGTTAGACTTTCTTGTATTTGTCTATCGAAATGAAATTACCAGGAAGCCACGTATCGCCTGTGGTTATCTTGTGCTACTGAAATGGTAGACGAACCACAGACCTTAAAGAAAGTACATTTTCAGTGGGATTGCCACCTTTGACAACTGTGGCATACATATTTGAATGAATGGACAAATGGGCAGTGAAGAACACAAATGGAAAATTGTTAAATAGACAACACCTGAGCCAACATCCCACTCCATGTTTACCTGTCTCACTTGTCCACCCATCACACACACACATGGCTCTGTCACCTCTCTCCATTATTGTTACTTTTTTCCCCTATTCTCCTCTCTCTTAATTCATATTGAGGTCCCCCCTCCACCCTTTTTTCTCCCCTCTTTTCTTCCTTGGCCTCTCTCTATTTCATTGTAATGAGTAAATGCCTCATTAGCACAGAGCTCTGATTAATGCCATCTCCCCTTGTTATGTTCCTCTTTTTAATGAGTAAAATCTCTCTAAATATCTCTCTTGCTCCATCTTTACCATCACTCTCCCTCTGTCTGTCTCTTCCTGTCACTGACTTGTTCCAGTGCCTTCTCCCACTCGTTCTCTCTTTTACTCATTCTCTTCTTCAGCTTCTTACCGCTCTTGCTTCTCCGTCTGCCCTCTCTTTCTCACTGTTAAACAGGGTTGGGAGGGGCTAATAATTATTTCAGTACAGCCAGTATCAGTGCATTTCTAATTAGCCTCTCAAATAAACATGCACACATCAACACAAAAGTAATTATCAGTGAAAAACCAAATTTGGCAAAACATCATTAAGAAGTAGCAGGACACACTGCCTCACCACTTCTGCAGTATCCTCTCACTGTGTGAATGCTGTAAAAAATGACACAACAACCAGAAGAATGTGTCCGAACTCAGCAAACTTAGTCGTGCTAACCACTTGGAGATTATGGGAACATAAGACGCTGCAGCAAAACGTCACTGTACAGCATATTTTGTCTAGATGGTTTCTTTTAACCACATCAATATAAAAACAACACATCTATAGGAGACCTAGAAAAACAAGGTAGACTTTTCTGTTTTCCTTTTAAATTAAACTGTGCCTGAGGATTCTGTGCTTGTGCATGAGTTCACTGAGGTTACAGTGTCTGAAATACAGCTTGAAACTAGACTGGTGCTAATTTAAAAAAAAAAAAACTGTATTATCTCTTTTTTTATTCATCTAGCTGCAGTGAGCCGCCACAACAAGCCAGTACAGATGGGAAAAAAGTGCGGTATTAAAATACACATTAGAAAAATAAGCATATTTTTTGATGTAAAAACAAATATGAAGTGTTGTAGTGTCCACAACCTGCTCAGAGAATTTGCAGGCAAATGACTCCATACTCACCAGTGGAATACAAAACAATTAAATTGCAGCTGTGTCCTGGCATTGATGTATTGATTTTATATGGTGGAATTTATTTAGCATTGCAGCATTTAACCCACCAGGACGATGAAGCCAGAGCTCCAACATAATCTTGAAATATTAATCCGTCTGGTGATGAATGGACTGTTTGGCGTGCACCCTCAAACAAAGGATATTGGCTAGGCTTGTATTAATATTTCTAAGTACTGTGTGTGTGCACATGTGGGAGCGCTGCACCATTTCTGACTGTTAATCTCCAGCCTCTCTGCACCTCTCCTCCATATAGTTCCTTCCCTCTTGATGTCTCTCTCACCCCTCGCTCCCCTGTTTCCCCCTTTGTCCCTCACACACGCACACACAGCCTATAATTTCCCAAGTGCTTGTTGAGGATCATACACTCATGCTTTCAGGTCTTTGTCTCTGACTGGGGGCTAGTGCCGCCTCAATGGATCACATCTGTTTTCCTTCTGTCTTTTTCCCCCGCCTCTCGCTCTCTTTCTGCCTCTTCCCTTCTATCTCTCACTTTCCCCTCAATTTCCCACCTCTCTGTTTTCTTTGTCTTCCACTCCCAAGTGCTGGAGGGATGGAAAAGAGACCATTCAGAATGCTCTTTCAACTGAAAAACCATAGCTCTAAACCTTGACACTATACTTATAGGAGCACTTGGAGATAAGTAACTGAACAACATGGTATCCCAATCTGATCACAGCAGATGTGGCGTAAAAGCTGCATTAATTAAAATTTTACACATTGTCTGATAGATCAAGTGAAAATGGAACAGGACGCGGTGTCATACTGCCGTACTACCCCCCTCCATAACACTCTGTTGCTTACAGCTTTTCTATTGTTATTCTAGCTTCTATACCCCGTGTTGTTAAAATATGATCCATAAATTAGCCCCTCCTGCCACCTAATGAAGGTTATAAAAAACACTTTTTGAACCATGAAAAGTCACTTCTAACAGATGCGACTATTAGTATCTAGTGCTATCATGTTTGTTTTGGTGACATTACAGACCTAGCATGGTTTTGAATTAATAGAATTTAAGTTCCAGAGTAATTTGAGCTTTGTGGAATGTTAGTGCTTTGTGTGACATTAACTACAAGCAGACTCTTCTACTTGACTGTCAAAATGATTCTTTAGTCAGCTAACGCTAGCTTTGGACTGGAGACCAGAACATGTGAGTGGAGCGGAGCACAAGCAGGCGGATTTTGGACAGAGCACAGAGTGGCTTTTTTAAAAAGGAGGCAGTGTCGCTCGATGTAACAACCTTATTACTATTGTAACAACCCTCAAGTCATTTTTTATAGATTGAGATAGTTAAATAATTATATTTTTACACTCCAGACCTACATACTGTACATTCTGGATGGACAGGCAGGCATAAGGAAGGGAGTGGCACTTTTTCTTAATGGGTGCTTCAGCATCTGCTTCCTAGGCTCACATATACTATGTTCACACCTTAAAACACAAAAATTTCACACATAATCTAACGCATTCTCAGGTAAACTGAACATATAATTCAATCTTGATATGACATGCAGTGAAATAGTTAATAAAACAGGCAGTCTGACAGCCTGACAGACAATAACAGTCAGTCAGTCAATCAAAACTGCAGGCAGCCACAGAGATCAGCATATCTTCAAGAGCAGAAAATCAGGGAGGGGACAATATTAGCTTTATTCTCTCTAAAGTCAATTTTTCAGTCTATTTAACTGAACCTCTACTTCTATCTGTGGCTCCATCCCCGTTTCTATCATTTTCTCTCTCTTCCTGCTGCCTCTCGATGTTGCTCTCTCTGTGTTATTTCACACCAATATCATCAGTCACGGTGCATCTCCCTACATTGTTTTGCTGTGATTTCCCATGGGTGTTATATGAGGCCTTAACCTATGATGCCCAGAGCACTTTTCTCCTATCAGATTGGTTGGGGGTGTTAGGGAATTGTCCTTGTGTGTGTGTGTGTGTGTGTGCATATGTGCTGGGGGTGTGGGGTGCGTACAGATGATGCCCACATTCTACTCCTGACCTTAACCACACCAAACCAAATGCCTCAACATAATAATTTTAACCCCATTGAGATTAATAGGCCAATCACATTTCTTCTCCCAGTGCCCCAGGTGGGATCCACATTTGTGTGAAGGACAAGGGTGTTTGCT